GGCTTACACTGGAGTATTACATAACAGATACAGTAAAAATCTGTTATAATTACTGAAGTCTGAGCAAGTACACTACATGAAAATCAATCTATGAACTTTATTCCCAGGTCAGAATCCCAGCAACATCACACAGTATAAAGTGGAACCCCGGTTTGTCCTTAATCTGTCCCAGAAGGTCGGTTGAAATCCAAAAATGAACAAAAACCGAAGTAACATCTCCCATGAGAAATAATATAAATCCAATTAATCCATTCCCAACACCCAAAACAAAAGAACAAAAGATAAATTTTAGAGAAACTATAGTTTTACATACAGAAAACAATGAGAAATATAAATGACTAATTTTAATGGATAAATGAACATTTCATTCACTTTTACCTTTATTGAAGAGACTTATTGGCGTATGGAAGACGGCAAGGAGAGGGTATTGTTTGGAAGGGGAATCCCCCTCCATAAGGACTTCAGGTATCAAAGCCCTATCTGGGATTATTTCCTTCGTCTTTTACTGGCACTAGGACCAGTTTGAGTCACTGGACCATGCAGACACTGCTTGCAACAGCTTTGTTAGGGTGGTATTTCTCCAACTCTTCCACATCCTAGCTACACAATGCAGCCCAGAGCCATATTGTTATCAGTGACAATGTTCACAGTTTAATCGTTTCTAACAACCACCTTTAGATGCCATCAAACAAAGGGAGAAGCAAAGAATTCATGCCGAGAATTGTAAACAAAAGCGTTATGTATTAAGGGTGGTGACTGGGCCAGTGCAGATCCATACATTTTCTCTGATGCTGGACCAGAGAAAACGTAATGTTTTCCCTCTGCCTGGCTAGGGCACCTCCACAACATATAAACATTGCATGTTTATATGCTAGGTAACGTGTTTCTTATATAATTTCGAAAAAAATATTACGTGGATTATTAATGAAAATATCCATATTAACCTAAAATAAGACATTTAATGTGCCCAAGAATGATAAAGTATTAGTATCACGAACGTATGAGTGGCCCTGGTGGACGCACCTGGTACGGACCATTTCTGAGTGGAGGTGCGAAACTCTGGGTATAATTTTGCCCAAAAAAGTGGTCGAAATCTGAATTTTAAAATATCCACACCGGATGAAATCCAGGGTTCCACTGTACTTACCATTAACATCCTTAACATGAAGAAACTTACGGTTATGTTAACTGTTATTTACAGAAATCTTAGCTACAATTTTGATAATAGGAATTAAGTTGCATGACAGAACCCCATCAATGTTTCATAATGCCTATTCATACCAAATTGTTAAACAATGTAAGCCATACCACTTCAGAAATAATCATACGATGCAGTGAACCAGTGTTGGGTGGCTGAGTCACTGGTCACACCCTCACCACCATCTTAAGCAGAGTTGTGCCATTATTACTGTTATGGTCGATGCATTCATAACTGCCTCTGACGAGTTCCAAGGTTTCCCTACTCCTGGAGCCTGGCCAGAGTCCAGGCTCATCTGGTGCTTGCCTGGTCGACCAGGCTGTTGCTGCTGATGGCCAGCCGACCCATATCACAACCTGGCTGATCAGACACCTAAATTTCCACAACAAAGGTGAGAGGAGAGCGATTTCTGGTATAGGTAAAATACACCAACCTATTATTGCGATCTGGTCCTCTCTAACGCTAATATAGATACAGTGGTATCTCATTTCGAACAGCTCCCAACTCAAACAATTATGCAAGTGTATTTTTACAAATGCTTTAAGTATTTTTGGAGGTCTGAAACAGATTTACATTATTTCTCATGGGAACAAATTTGGACAAATTTGGTTGGTATCGGCACTAACAGCCTTACGATATGAATTAAGAACATAAGAACGAAGGAACACTGCAGAAGGCCTACTGGCCCATGCGAGGCAGGTCCAAGTCTCCTACCGGCTTAAGCCAATGCACCCAACCTAGTCAGGTCAGGTCACATTGACTTAAGGGAGGAACACGGCAACCGACCTGTTAGCACAAGCTATCAGGTCTAACTCACACCCACCCACATCTACTCATGTATTTATCCAACCTATTTTTAAAGCTACACAACGTTCTGGCCTCTATAACGGTACTTGGGAGTTTGTTCCACTCATCCACAACTCTATTACCAAACCAGTACTTTCCTATATCCTTCCTGAATCTGAATTTTTCCAACTTAAAACCATTGCTGCGAGTCCTGTCTAGGCTAGATATTTTCAGCACACTATTTACATCCCCTTTATTTATTCCTGTCTTCCATTTATACACCTCAATCATATCCCCCCTAATTCTACGTCTTTCTAGAGAGTGAAGATTCGGGGCCCTTAGTCTATCCTCATAGGGAAGGTTTCTGATACATGGGATCATCTTTGTCATCCTCCTTTGTACATTTTCCAGAGAATATATATCCATTCTGTAATACGGTGACCAAAACTGTGCAGCATAATCTAAATGAGGCCTAACCAAGGATGTATAGAGTTGAAGAACAACCTGAGGACTCCTATTATTTATGCTTCTTGATATGAAGCCAAGGATTCTATTAGCTTTATTGCGAACACTTATGCACTGTTGTCTTGGTTTCAGATTACTGCTAACCAGGACTCCTAAATCTTTTTCCCAATCCGTAATATTAAGATCTACATTATTTAGTTTATATGTGGCATGGTTATTGTCCTGTCCAACATTTAGAACTTTGCATTTGTCTATATTAAACTGCATCTGCCATTCTCCGACCACTGCATCAGTCTATTCAAATCTTCCTGGAGTGCTCGAATGTCCTCGTCAGAATGAATTCGACGGCCTATTTTGGTGTCATCGGCAAACTTGCCGATGTCGCTCTTTTATGCCTCATCTATGTCGTTTATGTAGATTGTGAACAGCAGGGGGCCCAACACTGACCCCTGTGGAACACCGCTCGTGACGCTTCCCCACTCTGATTTCTCCCCATTATGCAAACTCTCTGCTGCCTATTTGTCAACCATGCCTCTATCCAGGAAAAAATTTCTCCTCCTATTCCATGTGCTTTAATTTTCCTCAATAGTCTCTGATGTGGGACCCTGTCAAAAGCCTTACTGAAGTCCATATACACAATATCATATTCATTACCATGATCTACCTCCTCAAATACCTTAGTGAAAAAAGTTAATAAATTCGTAAGGCAGGAACGCCCCTTTGTAAAACCATGCTGAGATTCGTTGATTAATTTATGCTTTTCAAGGTGGCTACGAACTGCCTCGGCAATTATTGATTCCATAAATTTTCCCACTATGGAGGTTAGGCTTATTGGTCTATAGTTCGAAGCTAAGGACCTGTCACCTGTTTTGAAAATAGGTATCACATTTGCCATTTTCCACTTATCTGGCACCATGCCAGTTTGTAGTGATATGTTGAAAAGATTAGCCAAAGGTGTGCTAAGCTCCTCTTTACATTCCTTTAGAACCCTTGCATACAGTTCATCAGGGCCTGGGGATTTGTTAGGTTTTAATTTATCTATTTGCCTAAGGACCATGTCACTTGTGACCCTAATAGTGCACAGTTTATTATCGTCCTGTTCTACATAATTTATCATTACTGGAATATCGCTGGTATCCTCCTGTGTAAAAACTGAGAGGAAGTATGTGTTAAAAATTCTACACATTTCCTTATCACTGTCAGTGAGCTGACCCGAGGAACTTTTGAGTGGGCCTATCTTGTCCCTGATCTTACTTCTGTATACCTGAAAGAATCCTTTTGGGTTAGTCTTCGATTCTCTTGCAACTTTAACCTCATAATCTCTTTTTGCTTTTCTAATTCCCTTTTTTATTTCTCTCTTTAACTGAATATATCGATTTCTTAATTGCCCCTCCCCTCTTTTGATTTGCCTATATATGCCTCTCTTTTGACCAATCAGATATTTTAATCTATTGTTCATCCATTTAGGATCATTTTTGTTTGATCTGATTTCCCTATTTGGAACATAATTTGACTGAGCAGCTAGAACTATGCCATGGAAAGCATCATATCGGCAACCATCACCACCTACCTGACCCTTAGTCAGGTCATTCCAGTTCAGCCCACCTAAGTAATTTTTCAGTCCTATGAAATCAGCCAAGCGAAAGTTCGTAAGTCGAGGTACCACTACCTCAATTTACCTTATTTCTAGCATATTTCCTTTTATTTAACTAATAAATTATCACAAGAACCCCAATGAAAAAGATGTCACTGCCTTTTTCTGGGTTATCCTTGGTAATGTACACAAGCTGCCATGTATAATTTATGTAACTATTTATGTGTACCTGTACCTGAATAAACTTACTTATAGCTATGGATATCTGGCAAGAGCATTATTATAATCATGGGGAGCGCTAAACCCCAAGGGACTATACAGTGCCTGTGGGGGGGATAGGAGCTAGAGCATAACATCGATGGGATTCTGTCCCAAGAGCTTCATCCATAATAATCAAATAAAAAAAAATTGTGCTGAAGATGGTGCAGGGAATTTTGTCAATAATTAATATTAACCATTACAATATTTTTCCATACTTTTTTTTTATACACAAGAACGTCACATTATGTGCAGCTTCCAAATTAAAAGTTACATCACCATAAACCACTACCAATGTGACTGCACCATAAAGCACAAGCGATAAACCCAAATGGGTCACACAGGTGGTTAGATAAGATAAGATTTCGTTCGGATTTTTAACCCCGGAGGGTTAGCCACCCAGGATAACCCAAGAAAGTCAGTGCGTCATCGAGGACTGTCTAACTTATTTCCATTGGGGTCCTTAATCATAATATACACAAGATAAAAATCCACTAAGAGGCCATAGAGCTGGCATAACACAGTCATACATTCATACATCACGTCAAGACCTACATACACACGCACACTACCACCTACATGTACGTTTAATCCTTATAGAGTAATAAATACGGTCGCCCTTGTAACCCCCAGACCAAATCACGTAGACACCAACTTTCACCATTAAAAACCACCTTAATTCCTGCCAGCCAGACTCACAGGTTTTCCGTGAAGGTGCGCCCGATTCTCTCCAAGTTAATCCCTTCCATGACCACTCCTCAGGCAGTAGAAGACACAAGAAAACCGACAAAATTCCCCGTCAAAAATCCCAGCGTCCACAAGTTCACTGCTGAGCTTAAAATGGCGACCACTTCCCTGGCAGCACAAATTCTCCACAACACCAAACTCCTCCAACAATGGCTCGTCACGGGTTATTTCACCCTCCAACACTCGGTGGAAATGTCTCCAAGAGGACTGACGTGTACACGACGAGTGACACGCAAAGTAATTTCTAGGAGAAAATTTTCCTGACGTCAGATAACTGCGTTTATGGTGTTCGTTTTCCCCTGGCCACGACTTGGATTAATAAAGTGTAATAACTAAAGAAGCAAGTAAATAAATAAGGAGCAAGTAAGGAAACAAGTAAATAAGTAAGCAAATAAGTAAGAAAGCACGTAAATAAGGAAGGAAGCACGCAAACAAGCAAGTAACTAAGTAATCAAGCAAACAAGCAAGTAAATAAATAAGCAAGTTAATAAGGAAAAAACAAGCATACAAGCCAGTAAACAAGCTTATTTAAGTGTCATCAAGTAAATAAAATTCCACAAGTATTAAGTGATTACCATTACAATACATAGTAACATCCAGATAAATTACCCGCCAGGATAACAAGGCCACACTGACTTATTTCCACTGGTGCTTGTGACATCTTATTAATAACATCCTGGCTGTTAGACACAGTATAAAACAACCATGACTATAACCGGAATGTTCTGCATAACCAGGGGCTTTCAATATACCTGGAATATACCTGGAGAATGTTCCCGGGGGGTCGACGCCCCCGCTGCCCGGCCCATTAGGCCTGAGCCATGTATCATATTAAAATATACTTTTATTGGATTTGTATAAAAAATAAACCATGTTAATAACTCAACTGCGTGAAAAATGGCTAATATTGTCCCCAAGATGCGACCCACACCAGTCCACTAACACCCAGGTGCTTACTTACTGCTAGGTGAACAGGAATAGTAGGTGTAAGGTGACTGACACCCAGGTACCTATTTACTGCTAGGTGAAGAATGACAACAGGTGTCTTCAGGAAACACGCCCATTATTTCCACCCGTACCGGGGATCGAACCACGGACCTCAGTGTGTGAGCTGAGTGCGCTACCAACCCACCAACAATAAAAAGAGACACAATAAAAATAAAGTGGACTGAGTAATTTATAGGAACACTAAGCAGAGAAATAAATCAGCGTAATGTAATAGGTACACGACTGTTAACTACTACACAAGAAACCACTTTTCTATTATTATATTTAGGAGAAACCAAAAACAAAATGAGACATACAAATTCTGATATAAACAAGAGGTAATCAGGACTAATAAAATGGAAACGGAGAAAAAGTTCAGTTTCTTTTTACAAGAGTCTGATAAATCGAAGCCATATTCAGGAAAACGAACGAGTCCTATGACAGCCTGACGTGGTCCTAAGTGTGCGCCAAATTTGATTTTTTACAACCCAAAATAATACAATAGCTCTTAAAACACATATATAATGTACATGTATAGCCCATAAATTCCCGGGAGGGATTATATGCAGTGAAAATGCTAAAAATAAATATGACCTCTCGTAATTATTGATGAACAACGGAAAGTAGCAAGATAAGGTGACACTGCATCACGTCATTTCTGATAAATACATTGCATCACCATGACATTTATTTAATGACTTCTTATAGGCTTAATAGGCATAGGTATATGTTTTAAAAACCAGTAGAGCTATAGGGAGATGAGGAGTCTAAAATCTTTAATGAGAACTAATATAATAAAAAAAAATTAGATTTAAATTACATGTTTTTTCTCGAGCACATTACATTAATTTTTTTTCCATTCGTAAAAGCAGATTAAGCACAAAATAATCACCTAAAAAACGAAATTTATTTAATTTAAAAAAAAAATCTACGAGCTCTTGTTGATTCTAAAACTAACAATGACTCGACAATTCCAGGTATAAATAAAAAAATATATATCCTTGGTAAGCTGCGGGATTTATATAACATTTATATTATAAAGATTCATCACATCATCTCTTAGGAACGATTATATTTATTGTCTCACGAATATTGGAGATCTTACCGACGTGTCCATGTGACCGATGGGTCAGGATAGGTCTCCAGTGATGAATTTGACGTTTCGCCCACGTAGTAGGCCTTATCAATCTAAAACTGAGGCATGCCTGGAGTATACCTAGAGAGGGTTCCAGGGGTCAACGCCCCCGCTGCCCGGTCTGAGACCAGGCCTCGTGTGGATGAAGCCTGTATGTTTATACCTCATTAACGTTAAATAGGCGCTATATACACAAATAACCTGCACATAGGATAGAGGAGCTCTCTCCTATGTGCAGGTAAATGGTCCAACTTGGACCATTTACAAAGTCACGTTGTTCTTTACGCCCTAAATAGTTAGCAGTTTTTATCTTTCAACTAATGATAAACAAAAATATTGAATGTTTCTAAGTATATTTACTTAAAAGCCGCTTTCTCCAGTGTCTTTAAGGGCACTAGATATAGCAGTGGAGGAAAGTAGTGAGATGCAGCAGTTGAAGGCGTGGTTATATGTGGGCAGGGCCCACTATTAGAGGTAGCAATAGAGTTGTATAAGATATTCTGTGTGGTAGGACTCCACGGTGTTGACGTGTCAGGCAAGGTTCATAACACCACCAAAGGTATTACATACCAATAGGTTAATTAACAAGAAACATGTGTCACTCTTAAGTGTTTTGGCACAGAGAATGTTTCCTACACCTCCATTGCAAAAACTCTTGTCCAGCTTACGGGCCTGGCTTGCTTCCACTTGTGGGCCCCGTCCATTTGTTACCACGTCTGCAACTGCTGTAGTTCCTCCACTGGTTCCAGTATAAAAGATTGCTAAATCGTTCTGTGTGGGCGAAACGTCTCTTAATATAGATAAGCAGGTGTTGCACATACGTCTTATTGCCAGGTGTTGAGGCATCGGTCACTCGGTCGCCAGTTGTTGATGCACCGCCACTTGGTCGCCAGAAGGCGTTGACGAACTGACCACTTGATCGCCAGAAGTTGTTGACGTACCGACCACTCGGTGGTGAACTCTGCCAGCGCAGTCGAAACCACAGGAGCCAGACGAACAAACAGCTGCCACCGCATAACATACAATAACAAACAGCAGTACTTTTATTTTTTGTGAAGTGGCTTTTTTTTTTTAAATCCCAGAGGCTTTTTTATCAATCCCCTGTGACCATTTTTTTTTATCCCCGGAGGTTGTTACAACCTCTGTCAGCGTGACAGAGAATAATTTTTAATGAACCGACGAGCGTCAGGTGATTTTCCCTGACTTATAAATTATTATGGACTTTACTGGCGTAATACACACACACACACACACACACACACATTTGTACCCAAGGGTAACAGGAATAATGAAAAAGCCAGGATGAGCCCATGGTTTACCCAAAGGTGCAGGGAGGCAAAAACCAAGTGTGCTAGGGAATGGAAGAAATATAGAAGGCAAAGGACCCAGGAGAATAAGGAGACCAGTCGTAGAGCCAGAAACGAATATGCACAGATAAGAAGGGAGGCCCAAAGACAATATGAAAATGACATAGCAGCGAAAGCCAAATCTGACCCAAAACTGTTGTACAGCCACATCAGGAGGAAAACAACAGTCAAGGACCAGGTAATCAGGCTAAGGAAGGAAGGAGGAGAGTCAACAAGAATGACCGTGAAGTATGTGAAGAACTCAACAAGAGATTCAAAGAAGTGTTCACAGAGGAGACAGAAGGGGCTCCAGAAAGACGGAGAGGTGGGGCACACCACCAAGTGCTGGACACAGTGCACACCACCGAGGAAGAAGTGAAGAGGCTTCTGAGTGAGCTAGATACCTCAAAGGCAATGGGGCCAGATAACATCTCCCCATGGGTATTGAGAGAGGGAGCAGAGGTGCTATGTGTACCCCTAACAACAATATTCAATACATCTATCGAAACAGGGAGATTGCCTGAGGCATGGAAGACAGCAAATGTAGTCCCAATCTTTAAAAAAGGAGACAGACATGAAGCATTAAACTACAGACCAGTGTCACTGACATGTATAGTATGCAAAATCATGGAGAAGATTATCAGGAGAAGAGTGGTGGAACACCTAGAAAGGAACGATCTCATCAACAGCAGCCAACATGGTTTCAGGACGGGAAATCCTGTGTCACAAACCTTCTGGAGTTCTATGACATGGTGACAGCAGTAAGACAAGAGAGAGAGGGTGGGTGGATTGCATTTTTTTTGGACTGTAAGAAGGCGTTTGACACAGTTCCACACAAGAGATTGGTGCAAAAACTGGAGGACCAAGCAGGGGTAACAGGGAAGGCACTACAATGGATCAGGGAATACTTGTCAGGAAGACAGCAGCGAGTCATGGTACGTGCGAGGTGTCAGAGTGGGCACCTGTGACCAGCGGGTCCCGCAGGGGTCAGTCCTAGGACCAGTGCTGTTTCTGGTATTTGTGAACGACATGACGGAAGGAATAGACTCTGAGGTGTCCCTGTTTGCAGATGACGTGAAGTTGATGAGAAGAATTCACTCGATCGAAGACCAGGGCAGAACTACAAAGGGATCTGGACAGGCTGCCAGACCTGGTCCAGCAATTGGCTCCTGGAGTTCAATCCCACCAAGTGCAAAGTCATGAAGATTGGGGAAGGGCAAAGAAGACCGCAGACGGAGTACAGTCTAGGGGCCAGAGACTACAAACCTCACTCAAGGAAAAAGATCTTGGGGTGAGTATAACACCAGGCACATCTCCTGAAGCGCACATCAACCAAATAACTGCTGCAGCATATGGGCGCCTAGCAAACCTCAGAACAGCATTCCGACATCTTAATAAGGAATCATTCAGGACCCTGTACACCGTGTATGTTAGGCCCACATTGGAGTATGCGGCACCAGTTTGGAACCCACACCTAGCCAAGCACGTGAAGAAACTAGAGAAAGTGCAAAGGTTTGCAACAAGACTAGTCCCAGAGCTAAGAGGTATGTCCTACGAGGAGAGGTTAAGGGAAATCAACCTGACGACACTGGAGGACAGGAGAGATAGGGGGGACATGATAACGACATACAAAATACTGAGAGGAATTGACAAGGTGGACAAAGACAGGATGTTCCAGAGATTGGACACAGTAACAAGGGGACACAGTTGGAAGCTGAAGACACAGATGAATCACAGGGATGTTAGGAAGTATTTCTTCAGCCACAGAGTAGTCAGTAAGTGGAATAGTTTGGGAAGCGATGTAGT